ATTTTTTTAGTGGGGAATATATTTCGATTCTAAAATTATAAACTAATATCAATATAATATATAAAAAATGAATAGTGAATACTGGTAAACAAGAATTGTTAAATGAAGAATTAAATTTGTTTACTGATTAATTGATATAAAGGGATCATATTATTAAATAATAAATAAATAATGAAAAAATATAAGTTATAATCAAGCCTTACCTTTCAATCTGATGCATTCGTTTCTCATTCACAGGGTTAGAAAATACCCGCTCTTTCCTTGGGCTTCTTGGAGGCCGTGACACTACATTAGGTTCAACAACATAGGATTGTGAACTCTGACTGTCGACATCAACAGGCCTACTAGTTGTGGTTGGTAATCGTTTTGGTTCAAAGGAAGACTCTGATACCCTGTTGCTTGAATTATCATGCTGTGGGGGTGAATGGTGAGCTTCTGGTGGGGGCACATATTGCGGGTACTGGATTGGTGATGATGGCTGGTACAACGGGCGGGTAACTTTAGTTGCAATAATTGGATCGCTCATTCGGGGAGAGTCATATAAGAGCACTTGTCTTTTCACACGTGGATCCGGTGTATCTTTATGCTGTCCTATCCCTTTGGAATCTTGAATAGTGGAACTAAGTGGTGGAGATGTGTATCGTGAGCTAATGTCATTGACACGGTTATATGAATCTGATCTCGGTGAAAGACTAGCAAGTGGTGGTGTTTGTTGTCCGAATCTGTTGCTCATCATCGTGTCGATGTACAGTGGATGCGAGGTTGAGCCTTGTGATTGTCTCTCGCGATCTCGCTTCTGTTTCAGCTTCAACTGCTGTCTTTGAAGCCATGTTAGGCTATCTGTCGACCCTTCACTTGATGTTTCACTTGGAGTTGGTGAAACTTGACTTGGTTGGTGTCGACGATCATTCAAAGGAGAGCCTAAATTAGATTGAGAGGTGGGCCCTGTATGAACAATCTTAATAATCTCTTTTTGAGCCCTGATTGGTGAGGTTGGTGACTGCACTTGGTTTGGATAGGAATTTACCCTTGTTGGTGACCCTGATGAAATATTACCCCTCTGATTTTCTGCTACTGGGGTGGTATTTGGTAAAACATGGGAATCATTACTTGTATGCGGTAAAGGTGAACTGGAACGGTAATATCTATTATCTTCTCTGTCTTGTCTGTGATTTGATATTCTCTCATTTGCATTATACCGTAACGGACTATGGGTACCTGCATGAGGATTGGCACTATAAGCATTTGATTGGAGCTCAGCTTCAATTTTCTCCTCCAAAGGTCCATTGGACATACCCTGGCCAAACGTCAAAAGCTGGCCGTTTGGAACTGGCTGACCATTTAATACAGGCTGACTGCTAGAAGATGGTTCACTATGATACATATGATTTGTGTGATGGTTGGAGTTATTTCTCATCATTGGCTCACCATACAAAGGATTATGCATCCCACCAACAGGGCTTTCCTTCTGTTTTTTATTACCCTGTTTATCTTTATCATGAATCTCAGCGTATGGGTTCTCTATCTCAGTTGATGAGCGTGAATAACCGCTGTCACGAGAGGGCGATGTTGGAGAGATGTGTGCTGCTGCATGTGGTACTGCATTTGGCTTGGCGGCATCTGCTTTCTGTGATTGCGATATTTGCCGATGAACACTGACAAAATTACCAGCATCAGGTGACTACACAAGACAAAATTTTAATTAAAATTAATCTTTAAAAAGTTATTAATCAGTGTCAATAAAATAATGATGGCTCTGGTTGAGCATATTGCAATAAAATTATTTGTTGAATTGATAAAAATGCATTTTATCTTTATTGTTTTTTATAACACAATCAATTTAATTAATATGTTTACCTCTTTAAGATCAATTCCATCAAGAAGGTCATCAAAACCTTTTAATAATTCATCAAGCTCCTGACGTTCTTTGTACGATGGTCCCCGTTTTGGTGAGCTACCGAACGGAGCACTTGTTATAGCTGCTACTGGTAAATTTGGGTGTGGGCTCGCACTTTTTGTCGCAACACCATTGGGCTGCAATGGGCCATTGACTTGTACCGGGCCATTCATTAATGGCGTTGACGCACTGTTGTTAACTTGTTCTGTTTTTGGTACATTGTTTTTGCAGACTTGGGCGTACAGGCTACCGTCTGGGGCTGATAAGTGTGGGATTTCAGTGGCATTCATATTTGCGTCCACTACATCTACATGTAAACAAAAATTACTATTTAGTAAAGCTCAGCCCAGGTTATTCCCATATATAGTCATGATGTGCCTATATATGGTCATGATGTGATATCAACTTGTCAAGCAATATTTGCTAGTCTAGACAGGGTTTAGAGAATAACATTTCATTGTTTTAATGTCACATCTTTGTTTCATGTTCACATTTTACCAACTATGTGGCAAGATTTTTATCTAAACTGGTGCACAGCCGAAAGTCATAACACATAAAAAAGCATAAGCTATAGTATAGTAAAGCTTCATTCAATATCAAATTTAATATTATATCTTTGATTCGATTTAAAGATAAACAAATATCACACTAGCTATTGCTAGCACTGGTTACCAACTGTTCCAACTCAAGGAATAGTTAAATAAAATAATAATAATATCATACTGCTTTTCTTCTTGCATTATCTGAAATTCTGTGATACATAGGGGGAAACTCACCATCTCCACCCTCAATGATAGAGTCAAAATGTTCATAAGAGTCCCATCGTATTAACGGATCATTGGAATTTTCTACTGGAAAGGAACTTCCACGGACGTAGTCACTGTTGTGTATCTTATCTGGAGTAGCTGAGAATATAAACTCTACTTTGCTAAATGTTGTAAACCGCGGATCTGGAAAAGAAATTCAAGAAATCAAATAATTCTCTGCTAAAGAAATTAGCATCTTGCTTGCGTATTAATTTTCAATACACAAGCAACATACTTTTTTTCCCCTAATGTATCAATTTTGTATTATGTATTAAAGAAATAAGCATCAGCTAGCGTATGTGTATAAAGTTAAAGAAATATTAGCTATAAAATTCAACATCCTTATCATGCTAATCATTATCAATACTATTATCCCAAATTAGTATATTTCCTCTAGAAGTGTACATTTATTTAATTTTCTGATACCTAATGATAATTCTCTGTGACAGTGGATTAAATTTAAATGGATTGCGCTCGCTTAAAATAGAAATTATTATCCCGGTACAACTGTCACACAAGAATTTAGTGTTATTCCATAAACCAGGTGATTAAAATATCTAAGAAACACCATTAACAGATAAACAAAATGAGGTAAATGTGCTACCTGTGCACGCATCATCTAAGTCAGTCTTTTGGAAAACAAGTCGATATTCCATGACAGCTGTTGTATGAAATTGCACGCGAAATATCACGTCTCGTGTCGTTGAGCGAAATTTTTTGTGGTAGCATTTCACCTGGGTGATTAAAAAATTCAGAATTAAGGTAAAAAAAATCGCTAAAAAAATTGTGTAATTCATATTTTTATTAAATTATAACTTCTTCACTTTGTTAAGATTTTATTTAAGAATTAAAAGAAATTTAATGTATGCTTTGAAAACTGGTTTGATTCATTGTAAAAATTTTAATTAAAGAGATAATAAAAATTAAAAAAATAATAACAATAATTTACAATGAATGAACATAAAAGTGAAATTAAATATAGTAAAATTACCTAAGTGAGTGTCTATTTTAATAATGCATAAAAAGCAAGATTCAACCATATGACAAAATAAAAAAGATATATTCTCTAAACTCAGAATATTTGCATACCAGAATATCTCCTTTGAGAGGCAAGGCTTGGTCAAATGGTATTGCAAATCTTGTGGTTCCCTCATTCACGGTGCTGTAAATTCAATATTTTAATCTGTTTTCAATAATGTTAGAAATGAATAACAAACCATCCCCAATCACCTATAGACATGATTGATTCAAGAATTACAGAAAAGAAACAAAACAAACTTCCAGTGAATAGAAACAAAAGAACTTTCTTCTCAACACAGTCATCTTAATGATTGGGGGGGGGGGGGCGGAAGAGGATGAGTTTTGTTGAAAGGGATCTAACTATTTCTGGCACAATGCAGCACTGACAATTTTTGGCCATTTAACCTGTTCTGAGAATACTATACCCAATGAATTAAAATAAAATAGAAAACAAGTCGTAGCTGACGGAGAGCGGTCCTTGGTCTGTTCGACAGGGTTATCAATCTCCTAGCCTGCACCCAGATCTGCCAGTGAGGTTATCTCATCTTAAAATTTAGTTTGCAGCTTTTTCCATTTATTCACACCAAAGGACAACTAACATACATATGGTTGTCTGGGGACTGTAACAATTTATAAATTAAAAAATATGAGGGCAGTATAAAAGTGTAGAACTTACTAAACTCCTGAAGTAAACACCGTCTGCATATTTTGGTAAATCCCTGTCTCTTATACACATCTAGAGGTGTATAAGAGACAGGGCAAGATTTTTATCTAAACTGGTGCATAGCCGAAAGTCATAACACATAAAAAAGCATAAGCTATAGTATAGTAAAGCTTCATTCAATATCAAATTTAATATTATATCTTTGATTCGATTTAAAAATGTTAGTAATAGTTAGTAGATATTATTAGTATTATCTCAATCATGTATTTTACTTTGAATATGCACCAGCAGATAACCCAAGGGTGATATTGGCTGCCAGCTATACCAATTATAGTCGGGTGGAGAGAAGCAATGCAAATAAAGTGGAGAAGAGACAACCCTACAAGCTATACCAATTATAGCCTTGTGTGGAATGAAGCAATACAGATAAAGTGCCTTAAACAAGGACTCAAGCTAAATGCATAACAAGGGATTGAAGCCCCACATGATTACTGTTACTGAACTACTTCCACAATTTTTTCATCTTAAAAAAATAACTAGGCTTACTTTGATCATAAAAATTGGCATCAAATTGTGATTGTTTATAATTGTAATATGCTATTTCAATTTATCTTTTAGAAAATAACATAACTGACAATTATATTCTTTTGCTCATCATGAATTTTCCATGATGAGATTAAACAGTATGTGGCATTTAAGTTGTAATTTGAAGACACATGAAATTTATATGGGTAGATATGCATGTGATAAAACATTTTACTTTTCCATTAAGAGCTTAGAAAACGCAGAGTTAACGTAATGTTTCAGTCATTTAACACACAACATTAATGCACTCGGAACTGACCATGCACTAACCAGGTAATTAGGCATGTTTTAAAATGATGTCGGCATTACGCGACAAGGTACAAATATCATGCGTGGGAGTTCTGTTGGGTAAGGATGTGCGGGTAATCAAGCTTTGCAACATTGCTCAAAAGTTTTTGATGAAAGTGTCAGTATTTAAGGACAATTTATTTCTGTCGGGAATCATCAATTAAAGCAATGCAAATTTGACTTGTTATTGTGAGGTTAAATGGTCCAAATAACTATTTGAAACAGAACAGTGACATAAGTCTAATCTGTGTACTTTATAGAATTGGTTTGGAGTCTTAAAAGATATACAAGTTCAAATCTACCACTTTGTACCACTTAAGACCTGAACATAAATTTTCTTTTTTGCTAGATATATCATCCTCTTGGTTTTACTTGAAACAAACATGTTGCATCACAGCAACACACCTAGGATATATGGTAACACACTACATGATAGCCACAAAAGCAGAAGGAAAGCACTTGTAGTTCGGATCTCAAAATTGAGGTCAGGGGTTTGGACCTCTGCTGTGTAGTTTGTTATTAGGCACGGCACTTTACCTATGTTTGTCTCTCCCAGAAAATATGAATTGGTAGCTGGCAGAATGTTTTGCTATCGATAACTAGTCTTCATAAAAATTCAGCACAATTAGGTATACAGCTACCCAAGGAGTGGAGAAGGTTGCATTTTGTGCTGGTTACACAAATCATGGATCAGACTCATTGCATGGTCGGCAATGCGGACAGACTGATGTCCCGATGATTATCAACGTTCGGGTTAGGTCTTGGGCCCTGCATCGAGAGCATTCAGCTTTAGACATGGTGGATCCAATGACCAGCAGTAATAATAACATCGCCTGCAACTTGTAACCCTTGGCAAAAGGTGCAGTATAAATCCCTAATATATTACACCTACTGTATATCATTTTACCGGTGTTTAAAAATTAACAATTCATTGACCTGAATAGACTTACAAACATAGTCAAAAGAGATAAAAAAATAAGTATTTAAGACCGAAATGGCAACTTATTTATCATTTTGATGTTATTCTGGTGAATATGTGTAGTAATAAGCTGATGTCTAACATTGGGCCCAGGTATGCTTTATTAATTACAATGGGCCTAAAGAGAGGAGCTATTTCAGTTGTAAGAAAATCTGAGATGGGAAGGCAAGAACCTTAACTGCCAAGCTACAGAACAACATATTTTTATTGTGGTCCTTCCAACATAATTTAAACAGAAACAGAATAAACTTTTGAAAGCCGATGTGACAGTTTGGTGAATTGCGGGTCCCCAGTAAATTACTAGTGGACATATGCGAAGCCACATGACAACACTTTAGTCTCCAACTTTGGTCATGAAACATTTTTTAACATTCATGCACTCAGAGCCAAGGGGTAATATTTACCATACTAATAAATAATCATTCTTAGACAACTTGGTTATAAATGTCAAGTAATCAATCACTCTTCGCCCCATTACACGCTCACATTGTGTCTGGCTACTGAAGGTTCCCCATACCAAGGCAGATGGACAAAAGGAAAGGTAATCTTTTACAGAGAAAGCTTGTTTCTTTATACCTTTGAAGTATCTAATCTATCAAGATTTTCAGGAAATGTTTCTGACTCTTGTCTATTAACATAAAGTCATTTAATGACTACTAAAAATGTAATTTTTAAACAAATGTACGGTAATTGAGACTTTAATACAGCAATTTCGAAACTGTGCTTCTATACTGACTGGGAACAATATAAAGATGTTATATATTATACTTACATATAATCCTTTCAGTTATATAATCCACATCCAAGTCTAAGGAGGCCATTATGTAACTATCCTTCCCTCTGTGAAAATGAAGAGCAAGCATTTTATAATACTGTAGTTGTCAGTAAGCAGTGTCAAGTGTTCACGCCATAGTTATGTGACTCAGTTAGCAGGGGGAGCGTTGATAAACAAGCCTCTCTGCTATATGATACGGTAACCAATCACAGCAATGGATATGAAATCCAATCACAGGAATGGAAGTACCAGGATACTTATATTTTTAACAAGCAATAGGAAAAATTAAGATTCAGATTTTGTTTCAAATTTTTTTTTTTCAATAAACATTACATAACTAGCATAAACTTAGTTATCCTAAACTATTCTTAATTGTCACAAGGCAAATGGGGAATAGCTCCTGAACATTGTACAGTAGTAGTATTTCCAAGTTTCTATACCTACAGTAACTCATTTTATGGGGGAAGTTAAACTAAGTGAATTCTTCAAATGCCTTCACATGTGTTGTTTATCATTCATGTTCACCTCATGAATGTAATAGCAATAACAAACCCTTTGGAAACCAAGGAAGAGAATGACTACAAGGATATGCCATAGTTGACTACAAGGAGTACAAACTAACTATGGTAAATAAATCTTCCTGAACCTTGTAAGATAGTAAAAAACAAAAGTAGCTAATAAAGGAAATAATAGAAAACTTTAAATGAGAGAAGGGTAGGGTTAGAATGAATGGGGAACACAGAAATGTCTAAATGCAAAAGTCAGCATAGATGTAGACAGATTTGCCATAAGTGCAGACGCATTAGGGAAGGGAAGTTGAAGACCATTTCGTAGTTCCTCAGGGATTGGTCCACCCCAACTTTATGTATTAGCCCTTATTCGGGCAAAAGCCCAGGATATATTTTGAATAAGTAGGTTAGCTTACTTTTACAATACTCTAAAAAAATATTGCAAATATTAGCTTTGAATTAGGAAAGCAGTGCTGAAAAAATTGCCTTTTGATTAAAATGGGATTTCCCTAGGAATAAGCCCACAGCAAAACTACAAGTGTTTAACAAGTTTAAATGATTGATTGACTGATTGACTGAAATAAAGATGTTTCTCACCTAGGAGGAGTAACTGGTGGAACAGTATCTGTCTGCACAGACATTGAACTTCTCTTAGGCCCACTTTCTTGCTTCTGGAAGAAAAAACATGAAATCACAATTTTATCCATAGGCCTACATTAAATGCTTATTTTACACAAACGTTTTGCTTTAATTTAACAAATATATGGTCTAGTATTTGAATATGAAATTCACCAATGAATTTTTCTTAAATGTCTTGACATGACATTTTGGAATTGTTAAATTAAATAAGCAAACTTAATTAAACATATATTCCAAAGTCTATAAATAGAGGAAGAAAAATAAACAACCTCAACCTTAATTAATTTGTGGAAAAAAAAAATAGTGAATACGATAGTTAAACCTTCATTAACTATATATCTTGGTATCTTGTATTGAACACAAAGGGCAGCGCAGTAAACAAAAATAAGATTTATGTAACTGAAAATTGAGACATTAATTTACAAACATACAGAATTTTAAAAATATATTATCTATAGGCCTACACTATAAACTATACACACTTATACTACTGTGCTCTAATTAAAAATTAATGATATTAAAGTGTATCTATTAGCAATGAATATAGTCAATTAAGTGCAAGGCATACAAAATATGGGCTCAAAATTAACCATGCCAGCTCTTTTGCAGGAACACTATAAAAGAAAAAAAATCTAATTTGTAGAAATAATAAATTCCAACAAGAGTGTTGTATGTGAACTGGAGAGCACTTTCTGGCTAAGTACCAGGAAGATTAAGCATTTAATTTTGTCGTCAAATCCACACTAATTGCTTGATTAAGTGAATGATTTTGCCTTGTTTTAGGAGTACAAGAGTAATAATTATAGAACAGCTTTAACTCAAGTAGAATAATGTAATGAGAAAACCAGGGATGTGTGTTTTAACCAAAAAGCGCAAATCAAAATCAAAATCGTGTATCACGCAAAGTACAAGGAGAGAGCATTTCAAGGACGTTTTGTTGGCACTTACAAATTTGATAGAGCTGTAGGTTGATAGATCTCCCGAACTAGGCTACAAAAGAAAAAGAAAAAATGGTTTAACATTTGGAACCAAACTTTTGGCGCAGAACCATATTACACCCCAAATTAAAATTTGCAGAAAATCTGACTTGGAGATCAGAAGCAGATTTAAAAACATTTAAAAAACAATGGATTTTGCTTGAACATTTTTGTATTAATAGACTTTTCCTGACTCATCAAATGATTAAGGAAAAACAAAAATAATACTGATAGCATCTAAAATAAACATTTCCCTAATCTATAAAAATCCTATTTATATTTATATTATTAGTAACA